CTAGTGGAAGGTGTCTCAGCCCATGGCAGAGGGTGGAAGGAGAGGAGCTTTAAGGTCCCTTCCAACCCAACCCAATTTGTGATTCTATGAAAACAAAGGGTAAAAGATAAGGCTGCCCATGGTGGGACAGCAATCAAGGCCAGTTTGTTATCCATGATATCTGTTCTCCCTGTTTCCTCCTGCTTTGCAGTTTGTTCAGGGATTTATCACTCATCTGAGCTCCTGTGGTGGGAAGTGGTGGCAGTGCCCAGGCCCTGGCTGGTGACTGGGTACCTTCAGTACCAGACCTTCCTCTTTCAGGAAAACAGGGCCAGGGCAGGGGAAAATGCTTTTCCAAACATAATTTTGGAGCTGCCAGGTGGATCATACCATCCCAAAGCTCTGGTGCCTGTTGTGAGGACCAAACAGCTGTGAGCATCTGTGCAACAGGAAAGCAACCAAAAAAACCCGGGAAGAATGACCTGGATAATCATGTGACACATCCCAGGGGTGGCTGAGCGGGGGGAGAATCGATGCAAAGCACTGTTGTACCCAAGAAATATCGCACTGTGGAGTTTCCCCTTCAGCTGCATGTGACTCTTAACTCCTGCCTGGAGGGCTGAGGTGTCGAAGGACGGGTTTTCTCCGTGGTGTGCTGGGGGTGGCACATGCAGAGCCCTTCCACCCATCCCCAGCGTGTGCAATTTGGCCTCCCCACAGCAGAGAACTGTCCTTCGAACCGTCCCGGCCTCGGGGACGGGGGATTTGCCTGGGTTGTGAGGGATCCCACTGCGCTTTAGGGACTGCAGGAGTCAAAGAGGGAGGCTTAGAGGCTGGGGAATAAAAACTGTACAAATCCCCAAATCCCAGGGAATGGGGCATTACAGGCATAACTACACCGTTTTGAACCCCTTTCCCATTTATCCCTGTTTTCCATGTACAAAGCACAGCCTGTGCTCAGCACGACCTCTCAGGCAGCCCAGCCCAAAGCAGATGTTGAGCATCCTGTCAGCTCTGATTATGAGGCCACAGCAAAGTCTGAGCAAGACAATATTCTTGCTGTTAAGCTGCAGGACTGTGGGAAGAGGGAGGGACAGCAGGGTCAGGGGAGAGATGGATCCTGCAGACACTGTCCGTGTGCTCCTCGGAAGAGCATAAGGCTAGAGCACAGGAAAGGTCTGGCTTGAGCATTGCTCTGAAGTTTAAACTCTGTCAGCCTTCCAGGCCTGAAAGTGCTGTGAATGCCACATGAGGTCTGGTCTAGTTCCCACTGTTGGGAAGACCTGGTTCAAACAGGCTCTGGGTTAAAGCTCTGCCTTGCCCTGTGGAGCTCATCAGCCCCGCAGGGGGGAACAGGGGGACAGGGACCAGCTTAGTGATGGCACCTCCTTATCCAGCTGAGTGCCAGCTCTGCCCCACGGGCTCTTACGTGCCAAGGTGAGTCCAGCTGGAATGTGGTGAAGGGAAGGTAAGCCATGAGTGAAACAAAGCTGAGCTGATGCTCCGAGACAAGCGTTCCATCCCGAGTGCCTGTTCTCCCGCCCTCCAGCAACCCAGGGGAATCCTGCTTGTGCTTTGCCTGCCAGAGCTGGCTCTGTTGCTGACTGGAATGAGCTCCGTGTTGTCCTGCTCTTTCATGGAACATACCTGTGCTTTTCTCTTTTCTCTTTATTTGAGGACTGAGTCTGACTGACGGTCTGTGCCTAACTCTGAGCTGCTTGTGTTTTTAACCTGAGAGAAACCGAGTGCATGCCTGAGACTGATTTCTTGGACTCTGATGGGATTGGTGGAATGCAATGCTAATGGCCCAAAAACTGAGCTGGCATTTAAAGAAATGAATAGATCCAACAAGCCCCCCAATTTCAGCATGAGCTCTGTAGCCAAACGAGCAAGAAACGTGGGTCAGTTCAATGTGACTGGGTGTCACCTGGTAAAACAATAATACAAGGGAAATACTATTTTTGCTCATCTTTACCAACAAGAGCTCCTTATGATTATATTTTCTGCTCCACTGCTTGCTAGTTTAAAGTAGGATGCTTTCTCTCTTTAGCTCGCTCAGTCAAAATAAGTGGCTGTGAACAGAGATTCACAAATAAGTGAATTGGGATCAGTATGGAAAGGGGCAATATTTTTTTATCTCCTTCAAATAGGAGGGCAAGAGGGATCTGGCTTTTGCATGTTTTCTTTTGGAAAGAACCCTCTCTAGATTAGCTCATTGGGGCAAGAAACCTCTTTCCCCTGAAGGAAAGAAGAAAAAAAAAAAAAGATGGGGTGAGGGGTGGGGAGAATCATCCAAAACAAATGGAAATCTGAATCTGTCTCCAGCAGTTCTTTGATCCACCTGCAAAGGCACATTTAATGGCAATTGGAAAAACCAGCAGGTTCCTAAGGCATCCTCCTGCTGTTGAAAGCTCAACCTCCCCTGTTGACTCGCTGCCATTGATCCATCTCCCAAACAAGTCTTTCTGGTGCCCTTTCTCTTTGATGAACCTGTCCAGTTACTCTCTGTATAAACAGATCTAAAACCTGCAGGTTGGAAAACATCCTCATTCCTTCAAGGATGTTTGAATCTTCACTGGACAATGCCTTTCTTTGTTACATTACAGGCTGTACACGCCTGTCTTGGCTTCAGTTCAGTTCAGAGCTGACCAAGACGTCCAAACAACCTCATTCCTTACAAAATGAAAATATGGCACCACTCCCTCTCCCCAAGTCTTTCTGGGGGAGAAAATCTGCCTTTCTCAAAGCAAATCAGACCTCCATGGACAGCGTGAAAGGGCCTTTTCTGTCACTGACCCAGTAGCAGAGGGGAGGGCTCTTGTGGAGAGGGATTTTCTCATTCTTGCTGCATGTGGAGTGATCTGCACTGACGAATGTTTCTTTTGGAAGGTTTTCTGGTGGCCGATTTGCTGCTTAGATCGTGAAGCTGGTAATTTTAATTTCTTTTTTCGCGGGCTGTGGTTTCCGAGCGTGTTAATTTCTGAAGGACACAAAACCTTTACTTTCCGCAGGACAACTTCATCAACCTCAGCTTCCTGAGGCTCTTCAGGGCAGCCAGACTCATCAAACTCCTCCGCCAGGGCTACACCATCCGAATCCTGCTCTGGACATTCGTGCAGTCCTTTAAGGTGAGTTTGGGAGACGTGGGTCACACTTGGTGCATCCACAGCGTCCTCCCCTGGGGATCAAACAGCTCCCCTTGCCAAGGGAGTTCCCTCTGCACCACCATTCCATCACAGGGATATTAATTCTGCAGGGAGGCAAACTGGGTAGCACTGACCAGCCCCTGAACGCTGCATTTTGGAAGATGAGTCCAAAAGGCTGCTGGTGCAGATTCCAGCGGGTGCACAGAGCTCAGGCTGCCCTTGAAACCACCCCAAAATCCCCGGGGCAAAGCCTTGATGCTCAAGCATTTGCATAAGGAGGTGGTGCCCTGGTGACTGTTATTTGCCTGCAGCGAGTGGGAGGTCAAATTGCTTTCACCAGGACTTGGGTGTTGTAGAAGGTGTGGCAGAGGCAAACCCCAAACCGCTGGGGTTTGGTGACACAAACTGGGGAGCTGCAGAACGCAGGGCTGGGCTCTGATGACGTGGAGGATTTTAAAAAGATGAGGTGTTGTTCTGAAGTGCAGGCGGTTTCTTGGCCTGGTTTCTCCTCCCTCCCAGCAAGACTCAGCACGTTGTGGCCCAGGGGTGACTTCTGCTCCAAGTGACCCTAAACCAACTGCCTTACAGCAGAGCACTGCTCAGCCCGTGCTTAGCTGTGAGCCAGCTCTTTTCCACACCTAAATAAGAGCCCACATGCCCCAAAGCTGCTTATTTTTTGTTTTGCAGCCCATTTGTGCATTGTTTTGGGCTTTAACTCTGGTTATGGGGCTTGCTCAGGTACTGGAGTGCAGAGAGGAGAACATATAATGTGAAATCAAGACTGATACCGGGCTCTAACACAAGGGCAGAGCTCCAGTCCCTGCCAGGCAGATGTTCCCACTCAGGAGGGTGTCCTTGGACTGTGTGGCCTTGGCTGGATCTTGGCAGAGGGGCTCAGCCCTGGCCTTTTCCAGCACAGCCCCGACCCTTTCCAAGGGTGTGTGCAGAGAGCTGCCCTGAAACGGAGACGGGACACTCCTGCACTGCCTGGGCAGCTCTTTGTCTGTCTGTCTGTCCCCCCAAAGCTGAGTTCTCAGTCTTTGATCCATGTGCAAAGGTGTCCAGCAGAAACCACATCAGCCCTTTGCCTCAGGGTTCCTTTGGGTTTTGCCCCTGGGGGACATCAAGGGCATCAGGGGGGGCATCAGCACCGGCCAGGCAAGGGAGGGGATTGTCCTGCTCTACTCTGGGCTGGGGAAGCCTCACCTCGAGTGCTGGGGGCAGGTTTGGGAGGACACAATGTAAAAACAAGATCTAAAGCTGTTGGAAAGTGTCCAAGGGAGGGACACAAGGATGATGAAGGGTCTGGAGGGGCCATAGGAGGAGTGGCTGAGGGCACTTGGGGTGTTCAGCTGGAGAAGAGGAGACTGAGGGCAGAGCTCATGGCAGTTCCAGCTTCCTGGGCAAGGGCAGAGGAGGGGCAGGGACTGAGCTCTGCTCTGGGGGGACCAGGGACAGCACCCAGGGAATGGCTGGAGCTGTGTCAGGGCAGGGTCAGGTTGGATCTCAGGAAAAGGTTCTTTCCCCAGAGAGTGGTTGGGCACTGCCCAGGCTCCCCAGGGCAGTGGGCACAGCCCCAAGGCTGCCAGAGCTCCAGGAGGGTTTGGATGATCCTCTTAAGGACAGGGTGAGATTGTTGGGGTGTCTGTGCAGGGCCAGGAGTTGGACTGGATGATCCTGGTGGGTCCTTTCCGACTCAGGATATTTTATAATTCTGTGATTCCCACTGGGCCCCCCATGGCTGTATAACCCCTCTCCTGCCCCCAGCACCACATGGGCTAGTCCTATGGCAAGACTTCTCCTTTTTTCAGCTATTACCAATTAAGAAGCATTAATTACCCATTTGTTTAGCCCAAGTGGAAAGCAGCTATCACTCTCAGCTTGGGTGACATAATTACATCGCAGCCTCCACTGATTTCTTGCTAAAACTCAGAAGCTTTTTGTCCTCCTGGGCCTGCAATCTGTGCCTGTTTCAGAGCAGCAACTCGTTTCTGGGATGGATATGTTTTTTTTCGCAGACTACATTTACAGCAAGGTCATTAAAAATTAACATTCATACAATTATGCATAGAAAGTGCCAGGGCCTGCTGGTAGTTCCAGTGCTCGCTGGGAAGCTTTGGGTTGTGTTTTCCCTGCTTGCAAGGATATACAGAGAGCCTTTGGAAAGCCCTGGCTGTTCTGGGATTGATGAATTCGTGGCTCCAGGGGGGTTGTTGACAGAGCTGTTCACATTCTCCTCCCAGCTCCTTCACTTGAAGGACAAATGCCAGAAAACACAGTCCTGCCCAGGGATTAAACACTCCTGGGTGCTGTGCCTTTGCTGTCATTAACACCACCTTCTCCTTTCCCACAGGCCTTGCCTTATGTGTGTCTCCTCATTGCAATGCTCTTCTTCATCTATGCCATTATTGGCATGCAGGTAAAACATTTGGCTCTCCTTCTGCCCACACTCAGCCTGGGTTTGTTCAGGGAGCAGCTGGGTTAGGATGAGGCAAAAGGCTCTTCTTGTCTGGTGTCAGGGAAATGAGAAGTGGAAAAAAGGGCCACTTATTGTCATGTTGTAAGTTGAACATGGCCCTGGGTGTACAAAGAGAATGGGCAGACACATCAGCTGTGGGGATGAGCCTGTACCACTGCCTTTCCAGCAGCAGGGTGGGTATCCCTGTCTCCCATGGGAAGAGACGCCCCTTCCCCTGGCTATGGACACATCAAGACACTGCACTTTTCTGAGAAGAAATCCTGAAGTTTTGTTGGCCTGGGATGGAGCTGCACTGTTGGAAAGGTCCTGTGTGAACACAAAGCACAGTAACCTGGTGTTTTCCCCCATTTGACCTCCACAACACTTTTTTATCTCCCCCTTCAGCACAGAAATTATTTTAGCTTTTGAGATCCCTCACACCAGGACGAATTATTTCCCTGCCTTTTTACTCAACTCCACTTGATCCACCTTTCCTGACAACATCCATGGGAGGGTGTGCTTGGCCTGAATCCCTTCTGTTTCCCGTGGCAGGTATTTGGGAACATTGCATTAGATGATGAAACCTCCATTAATCGGCACAACAACTTCCGGACCTTCCTCCAAGCCCTGATGCTTCTGTTCAGGTAAGAAGGGGGTAATAAAACACCAGCTGACTTGCATGTGAGCAGGGAAAAAAGTCTCTGTTTGGCTGCTGAGCCTTGGGCATCCTCTGGGGAAGGTATTTGAGTAAAGCAGCCATTCCTGCTTCCTCCTCCTCGGTGGATCTGAGCCGACACATCATCATCTCCACAACGTGTCACCCAGGGCTGTGACACCCCCTGGCAGCTCAGGCAGAAGCTTAATATAGGACAGCTCCCCCTGTATAACTGATTGATGGGTTTCCTGTCATGAAGCTTGTTTTTTTTCTTTTTTTTTTTTTAAGTGAGAATCCCTTAAATTGGTCATTTTAACACTTCATCCACCAACCCCCCGCCTCTGCTTCGGAGTGCAAGTGTTTCCCTCTGGGTTCATTCTGCAAGGAAACAAAGCATTTTCGAATTAAAACCCAAGCAATTAATTTTTCACCGAAGATTTTCATTTTCAGAACCTGTCAAAACTGAAGTTTGGGTCCTGCTGCAGCTCAGGGCAGTTTGGGGGGGGTGGTGTGGAGACCCCCCAGTTAACCCCAGCTCTGCAGATGATGTGGAGCTTGTAACTGGATCTCTTGCCTGGGATTTGGTTTCCATAGTTTCTGTGAAGCCAGATGGAAATGAAATTAGCCCTCTCTAGCTCAGAATAATCACTCAGCTCAAAGCCCTGCATTTTAATAAAATTGGATAATTACTCAGTCTCGTGGCCAGACCTCGTGGTCCCTTCACAGGCCACAGTGGGACTGAGGGGCAGCAGGACTGGGATGAGGAAGGAACCAGATTACTCTGATATGTGGAGATCCCCTGACATCCAAGCCATTGCAGGGGGTGGTTTATTTTGAGGACAAACCCTTTGGGACTCCAAAACTTTTCCTTTTGGCTGTTTTTCTCAGCAGCTGAAGTTAGAGGGGGAGGAGGGAAATGATGAAAACACCCAGGAGACTGGCATGAAAAAGAGATTCATGGCACTACGACCAACCAGACCGTGCTGGAATTTATCTGCCTGATAAAGAAAATAAGAGACTCAAGTGGAGAAGCCTGATTTCATTTCCCATCATCTCCACTGGGTTTAGAGCCAGCACTAGGACAGAAGTGTTTGGCTGCTTCAAAAGGGAACAATCTAAACTCTGTTTACTTAGATTTGCACTGGACATGTTGAAATCAATCTGGTTTTATTCTCCATAAAAGCAATAAAGCTTTTAGCCTACCTCAGCCTGTCTGGCTTCTTTTACCCCCCTGTGATGGAAGGAAATGTTATTCTCTTTTCTTTCCACATCAGCAGGCTGGTAATTCAAATTCCCAGTGTAAATACAGTCTCTCCACCTGGACACAACCTTCACCTAATTAATTTAGTTAATTAGGCACAGTAACATTGGGAGGTGGCTGCCCCTGGGGTCTGTAAGGGGAAGGGGGTGGATAAACTCACTTCTGCCCTCCCATCCCCAGGAGTGCCACGGGGGAAGCCTGGCACGAGATCATGTTGTCCTGCTTGAGCAACAGAGCCTGTGACCCTCTCTCTGGCCTCACCAAGAAGGAATGTGGCAGTGATTTTGCCTATTTCTACTTTGTGTCCTTCATCTTCCTCTGCTCCTTCCTGGTAAGTCGGTCCTGATCCCTCCCAAAGTGGGGGTGCTGTGGTGGATCCCCCCAAACACTCCCCACCCCTTTACCTCCTCCTCCTCCTTAATTATAATTTATCCAACACCACCAGACAGCTTTGCTAAACCCCATTTACCATCCTGGTGATAAAATCCCTTTAATCCCCAAAGAGATCATTTAGTCATTAGTTTAAAGGGAAGGGATTTATCTTTCTTCTCACGAGGGGGGTCTAATATCTGGAATTAAGCACTAATCGGTTTTGTCTTGATTTGTAACACAGGCCTTTGAAATAGGGGACTGGGGAGGGCAGGGTGAGAATGGCTGAGACAACACCAGTGCAGAAGCTCTTGCTGGGAGCATCACACTCACTTGATGCTCTTGTGTTCTGTTTTGTTGGTCAAAGAAATGCAATAATCATTTGCTGCTGCCAGAAAAGCTTTTAGACATGGAAGTGTTCAGTGCTTGGGTCGTGCCTGTGCTTTAAGAGGGGCTTTAAGAGGTGCCAGTGCCCTCCCTGAGCACTGGCACAGCCACAAACATCCCTCTGCCCCTGGGGGTTTGTTCCCTCTCCAGCACCACTGGGGCCAGAGGAATGGAAAACCAGGGGCAGGGACCCAATTAAGCTTCAAGCAGGAAGAGATGAAGGCTCTGAAATGAACCCAAAAGCAGCGTCTGGAGCTGCCACAGCTTTGCTCTCAAACAGCAGATTGGCTGCTTTGTGCAGCTAATCCTGCTCTCCTCAGAACCCTTCCACCAGGAAAAGGAGCTCCACGGGGCAGTTTGATGCTGGGTGTAGACACACCAACTTCAATGGCCCCTCCTGGCATCCTCTGTCCCACTGCTGTTGCTCCTTTGACACCCCAGGGATTATTTCTTCTGAAGAGTTTAAAAAAACCTGGAGCCCTGAAAGCTTACATGAAGTTAATGCTCCACTCAGTGACTCCTTCAGCACTCTTGAGTTTTAAAACCAGGTTTTTTCCCTTGTGCAAATCCCTAACCTGACATCAGACGTTCTCAGTGTTATTTTCAAGCTTTTTATTTAAAAAAAAAACCCAGCAACAAACATCACATCCCCCCAGAGCCCTCCCTGGCTGGATCAGCCATCTCAGCCAAAATGTAGCAGCAGAACTGGAGCTGTGCAAAAGCAGCTCTGTCCCTGGGTCAGAGCTCCTGGAAAAACCCCTGGAAACTGGACCAGGAGAGGTGAGAGCCCTTGTGAGCAGCAGAAGTTCCAAAAATAGGCAGTGGGAAGCCAAGCAGCTGGATTGGGCTGTAACTCATTCCTTAAAATGCACTCAGCACTTGACCATGTGGTTCCCCACAAGCTTTGCAGAGCCCCAGCCTTGCCAGGAGAGCATTTTTTTCTATGGTTTGCTCAATGTTATGCCATAGATTGAGGGGAAATTGGATAATGTATTTGGTTTCCAATGGTGTTTCTGGCTCTGTGTGGACGTGCAGCTTGACATAATTTCCCCCCTGTAATTTGAGGGAGAGGAAAAAAAGATCAATTGAGATCCACGCTGAAAAATATCAATTGAAATCTATTACGAAAAATATAAATTGAAAGCTAAGAATATAAGGGACAGAGGAAAACATCAATTGAAATTTATAGTGAAAATATGAATTGGAAGTTAAGAATGCCCAGGAACTTTAGAAACAGCTCCAGGTAGGGAAGGGGGAACTGTACCGAGCCATGGCTGGAGCTGGGAACACTGGGAAGGGATTTGGGATCAAGGGGCAAACTGTGAGAAGTTCTGCTGCCTCGGGATGCTCTGGGGACACTGTGCCATGTGGGAGGTACCTGCAGGACAGGAGTGAGCCCTGCTGATCCAGCTGGAGTTCTTGCAGCCTTTGAGCAGCTTCTTCAGAGCTGGTTTGGGCACCCCCATCCCTGCATGGGGACTCCAAGATGCTGGGGCTTGTCTGGGCCGTGGCACAGGGGCACAAACACCCAGGGAGGGGGGACACGAAGGGCCATCGTGGTTGCCCAAAGCCACCAGAGCTGTTTGATGATGTTGGAGCTGATGAGCCTCACACAGGAGTGAATTCACACACTGCAGGGGCAGGAGCCTTGCTGGGGCTCTCAAAACACCAGAGGAAGTTCAACAAGTGCCACATTCTGCCCCTGGGATGGGGCAGCCCTGGATGTGCTGACAGAGTGGGAATGAGAGGTTGGAAAGCAGTGCTGGGAAAGGGCCCTGGGGGTCGTGGTCAGTGGCCAGTTGGCCCTGAGTCAGCAGTGCCCTGGCAGCCAGGAGGGCCAAACATGTCCTGAGGGGCACCAGGAAGGAGATTGTCCCCTCTGCTCTGCCCTGGGGTGGCCTCACCTCAACATTGGGGCAGTTTGGGGTGAATATGCAAAATAAGGAAGATATTGAGCCATTAGAAAGTGTCCAAAGGAGGCAACAGAGCTGGGGAAGGGCCTTGATTTGAAGCCGGGGGAGGACACTGAGGGCACTTGGGGTGTTCAGCTGGAGAAGAGGAGACTGAGGGCAGAGCTCATGGCAGTTCCAGATCCCTGGGGAGGGCCAGA